GATCAGGAACACGTTCATACACTAACACGTGAACTTCGCCATCCAGACGTGCAACGTCACTAAATAAAAGAAAGAAAAAAGGATATTAATTAAATGAATTAAAGATTGAATTAATAATATCAATTATAATATCATAATTATAATTATATCATAATTATATATAATAATTATATATTATATATAATAATTATATATAATAATTATATATCATAATTATAATATAATAATTATAATATCATAACGATACATCATAATGATAATATCATAACGATACATCATAATTATAATATAATAATAATTATAATAACATAATTATAATATCAATGATATATCATAATTATATAATTTAATACTTACAAAACAGCTTTCTGTTTCCAAACAGGACTTGTAGCAGCACGAACCAGGTCCAAGAACTCAATTTTGCCATTACGTGAAGAAGGAAGATCACAATCACGAATAGCTTCTCTCGTAACAAATTCGTTACGTTCAAATTCTACCACACAATAAGGACGAGCTTGAAAGTTACTAACATTTAACTTTCGACCTTCAACGATAGTAACAGAGAGGCGACCAGTCACAGGAGTTTGAGTAACATTATCAAAAGCACTACTTGGATCAGAACTTGGGGAAGCGGACCTAGGCGTTTCTTGACCAAGTTCTGAACGATGTTGATATTGCTTTGATGATAAACCATTGTTGAAAGACGTTGAATCCCTAGGATGAATATCAGGCGATGAAGGAGGAGTTGGCAAGTACTTATTAATCTTTGCGTTGTTACTCCACTCCACAAACTTTGCCTTAAGATAATCAGTCATGATCTTTGTTATAAATTTTTTTCTTTTGTGTGGTCGTTAAAAATACAAAAAAATAATTTGAGAAAACACGATATTAGTGTTTTTTTTTAAAGAAAAAAAAAAAAAAGAATATATTTTATTATTTTATAAATAAGAAAAAAAAAATTAAGGAAGAAAAAAAAAAAGATAAAATCTTTTTTTTTGTTTGAATCCTTTGTTAGGAGTGAATTTGGCAGGTTTGTGGGGAAGTGGCTCTATTTAAACTTTTTTTTTTAACTACTATGCACTTATGCGTCGTGAAAGTCTAATATATCAAGGATATATATTAAATTAAAAGAGAGTTAAGTAGTAAGTAAATTTTTTTTTTTTTTACTTTACTACTACTCTTTTTAATTTATGCTCCTTATTAATTTCAGAGCGAATATATTTAATGTTATTTAAAAAAGGCGTTTTTTGTAAATTGTTTCGGTTTTTAAAGTTTCTGGGTCAAAAGTAACTTGTTTAAAAAAGAAAAACCGCTGGTTCAGATGATAACTTGTCCTTGGGTTTTTTCCTGTACGAGACAGGCAGTATAGGGATTTCCTATTGTTTGACGAGAATGGGAAATATATACTACGTAAAAAAAAAAAAAATTATTGACTTAGTTCATTTGCAAGTCTCTTTTATTATTAGAGTAAGATTAAAAGGTATTATTTTTTTTTTTGCCGATATTTGATTTAAAAGAAAATGCAGCAAAAAAAAAATTGCCCGTGAGAACGACGAAAAGGTAAAGTATAAAAATAATTTTGAAGGAGTGATTTTCGGGTACTAGATATATTAGATATATATTAGATATTTGTATATATTAGATATTTGTTTTTTTTTTTTTTATTGTCCGTAGAAGTAAGAGGCTTGCCCGCCTTTGTATCCTTTGTAAGTTATTTGTCACTCTTTTTTTTTTTTTTTTGGTGAGACCAGTTTCGCTACGTATAAGCGTATAAGTAATGTACGCTAATAGTTTTGTAAGTCGTATGTTTATAGCTTTACCCCAAAATCAGCAAATTGAAAATATAAAAAAAAAAACTCGATTAAATAAGTAGTAGATATTCGTAGAACATGAAAAAATCAGCCAATCAACAAAGACATCTAAAAGTTACAAAAAAGTAACTATACCGGATTTATTCTCCCCCCACATTAGCACATCTGTGGTAATCGGAGAGTAATCTTATTAGAACAATAGGCGTACAGTAAAGTAAACTTTATTTTTTATTTAATTTTTAAATCGATTCTTATAAATAGTTTAATCATTCCCTTTTTATATGCTAGCAGCAGACAATAAATACAATAAAAGAATAGAGAGCAACAATAACCTTAGGTTTTTAAATAATGACTATTTTTTATGGAATTTGATTATCCTATATAGTGCTAATCTACATGATAAATGTATCGATATAAATCAATAAATCAATATAGTTGATAGATATAGATATGTAGAGAGATTGCAGATTGATATTGATATGTATATTTAGTATATTCAGTATATTCAGTATATTCAGTATATGTGTATATGTGTATATGTGTTAGGTATGGAGTTGTTTTTATCAATTCTGTATTCATTTCATCAATCCTGTATTCATTTCATCAATCCTGTATTCATCAATCCTGTATTCTTTTTTTTACCCAAGGTGGCGTTTATGTGTTTGTATATTTTTCTTATTTTGAACAAGATGAGAAAAAAAGCTTTCCAAAATAAAAAATTGTTTGTTTCCATAAATTATTGAGTTTAAATTATCGGAGTAGTGATAATGTTTTTTCATTGATTGAAACAATGAATTGCATTGTTGTTGTTTAATAATTATTGCAAAAAAAAAAAAAAAAAAAAAAAAAAAACCTGTAAGAAAAATAAGAATCATGATACAAAATTGGGAATAGAGTAAGAGTATTCAAAAAAAAGAATAGTAAGAATTAGTGAGGGAGAATGAACAAGATTTTTTTTTTTTAAAGAAACAATTGTTTTGTCATGGTGAGATTACTAAAGTAACGAATTATCGAGTAATGAGTGAAGGTTTTGGTTAATGGGTAAGACAAAATGCGACAAATGCGATAAACGCAGATTTGTTTAGTAAACAAAGTGCCAAAAAATTTATAAACAGTCAGCAAAACTCACTTGATCAAATAAAGTATTTATTGACAAAAACCATTGTCCTTCCTTACACGCATTTAATGTGCCGGTCTGTATCTGCACCCCGAGTTTCTCGACTATTTTATATGTACATTATACAAAGAACGACACTATAAAGGCCAAATATTAAAGATACATAGGTTGATAAAGTTTCGATTTTTGTTGAATTTAGAAGAAGATATTGTAGTACACGTAAATGGGAGTATCAAAAAGTAAGCAAAAAGTTCAATTGGTAAAAGCTCAGTTAGTAAGTTCAATCGGTAATACTTGGTAATACTTGGTAATACTTGGTAAAGATGGTAACGCAATTTAGTAAAAAATTTAGTAAAAAGAAAAAAAATCCTTTCAACAAATAAAAGTAACACAACATTTATGAATTACACTTTAACTCTTATTTCTGGACCCTGAGCTGCATTTTGGCTGATTTTATCGTAAGTCTTTTGCCTTTTTTTAAATCATAGTATTTACTTGCACATATGTATATGCGCATTCACAGTAGTGCATCTGCATATAGCATATATATATATATGATATATATTATATATATATATATATGTATGTATGTATATATACATATATAACGTATGTGTCTACAGTATTAACACATATTTACACATATTTACACATATTTACACATATTTATATGTGGTATTTGCATGTATCGGTATCTTTGCATCTGCATAATCTGCATACTATTTAAATACTATGTGTATGCTATGTATATACCGATACTGTATGTATGTATATGTATATTGTGTGTGCACTGCCTTTCGACTTTTTTTAAATAAATGTGTTACGTACAATTAGAAATTTATCAATTCATTTTTTTTAAAATATATAATATAAATTATGCAAAGATTTGTCGTAGATAGTCATGGATTGGCATTTATAGTAGATCCTCCAGAAAGAAATAGTGATCCCAAGAAAAAAAAAAGAGAAAAAGAAAATGGTGGGGTATTATGTACGTACGTACGTACTTACTTACTTACGTACAAATTTCTCATTACTACAAAGTTCTCATTACGTAGTATGTATGCACATTAGTACTTATATATCTGTATAATGATAAAACGATGTATAATTAATAAATTAATATATACATATAGTAAGTATATTTAATAGCATTAATAACATGAATGTGTATACGTATAACATTAATGGGAGCTATAAACATTAATGGGCTATAACATTATACGTAATCGCTACTATACTCTGTTACGTATGTACGTACACATCTAGAATTAATTAATATGCAAAGTCATCATATGTACAATATAATATCCGATAATCTTGTAATCTTTTTTGTAATCTTTTTTGTAATCTTTTTTGTAATTTTTTTTGTAATCTTTTTTGTAACCTTTTTGTAATCTTTTTGTAATCTTTTGAGTCTTTATGGTAAAAGAATAAAGTCCAATAATGATCTATTAAAAGTATTAACAAATGATCAGACCAATTATATTTAATAAAGTTGGATCAATAAGTACTTTTTGTATGCATGTACGTACAGGTTTCAATAATTTCAATGTATTAATATATATATATATTTATAAATTAATTCTCTTAACATTTTGCAACATGTTTTGTATGTGACACTTTTTTGTGTAATTTCCTAAAATTCGAAAAAACAAATATTCTCCTTGCTTGTACCATGGTATTTTTTTTTGTACCATGATTTAAAACGGGGATGCAGAAAAATAAAGTTATCGGTTTTGAAATTTTAGGTTTGAATTAACTGTGTTATTAACTGTGTTATTAACTGTACTATTAACTGTCACTTTTAACAGAGTTTTAACAATGAATCTTTATTTAAAGTTGAAACAGGGTATAAAATTTAGATCAAGGGTATATTAATTTGTTAGAACGAATTTTAAACCGATTGTTGGAACAAATTATCCCGGAATAATCTTCAAAAAATCTCGGAATAAAAATAATAATCTTCAAAAAATCTCGGAATAAAAATAATAATCTCAGAACAAATAAAAATCTAAGAATAAAAATAATAATTTCAGAATAAATAAAAATCTAAGAATAAAATAAAAAATCTAAGAATAAAATAAAATCTAAGAATAAGGAATTAAGAATAAAGTATCAACTGACATAAATCTAACTGACGTAAAAAAAGGGAAAACCAGATTTGTTTCCGCATCAAGTAAATAATAAATGTAAATAAATGTAAATAGATGTAAATAAAAGTAATAAAAAAAGTAATAAATATAGTAAATGTAGTAAATGTGAGAACTTTTAGCGAATATGAACGCGTCAAACCTGTCAAGTAATTTTTAAAGTTGACAATCTAAAAAGGACTTTGATGAATTAAACGTTAAAGGTACACGAAATTATCCAATAAAATAATTCTTGCATAAATCATAAATTATAAGTCATATATGTATAAATTTTTTTACTAATTCAATTATGCAAATCAAACAATCACGCTTCTAACAATAACAGAATTTTTCCGTACAAGTTTTAGATATAAGTGTATATATTAGTGATATGTGATTGGTTGTGATTGGTACACGAGATTGATGACACGTCAAAAACTTCATCTATTTTACATTTTACGCGATTTTTTTTTTTTGCATCTATCTATTACGTATAAATTACGTCAATTGTGTCAAATGTGTCAATTGTATCAATTGTGTAAGAACAAACCGTTGAATATATCTTTATTGTTTATTGCCTCTCAATATTTATTTATTTATTTATTCTCAATATTTATTCTCACTATTTAGTATCAATATTGATTCCCAATATTGATTCCCAATATTGATTCTCAATATTGATTTATTGATTCTCAATATTAATTAACGTATTGTTCATCCTATTAAAAAAAAAAAAACCTGTTTGTTATTTTTGGCCT